TCGTTAGAAAAGAAAATATGTTTTGGCTCTAAGAACTCTTTCAAGAAAAGTAACAATGCAACCCCCTCCGGTGAATAGTGAAGCGAATAGTCCTCACCATGGTGCCACTCCACATAACCACCATCATGCTCACCTAATTGATCCGGCGACGGGCAATAACTTCTTTCCTCCGGCGAATCAGCAGGTTCCGACTTACTTCTCTCCGGCTGGCACGCAACATAACCTTCTTTTGCCGGCGGTTCTTAAGGAAAACCCATTTAAAGATTACGTTCTGAGTCACTTCTTTTCTCCAAAATTAAATGCTCTGACCAACCTCTTTGATCCCGTCACCCATAAAGATCCTCTCTTTAATCTTTTTTTCTCCGACCCTTCTCTACCAAACCTTAATCCTACTGCTGGGAATCCATCGAACTATAGACTCATATTGACATGAAAAAAATGATTTTTGAAATTTAAAATATATTGTACGTATTCTTAAAGCGGGCCTGTGATAAGTTTGTTTTGTCGACATAATACAACATAAATTTAGCATTCAAGTTTTTTCACAAGTATTTTAGATTTTCGGATTTTAACAAAAGGAACTTGGTTGCTACTGCTAACATTACTTATTGTGAAGATTATTCGGATGTGGTATCCTGTCGTTGATTGTTAGCGATACCATGTTCGCTTTATCGACATATATAATACAACGTAAATTTAACATTCAAGTTTCTGATAGTTTTGTTTTTCATTGAATTTCAAATTAATTTAATCAAAAGATGTGTTTTTGTACAAAATCATTAGTATGGTTACTCTGAAATTAAATGGAATCTAATCACAAATTTACCAAGTTTTAATTTCGGCTATATTTGCGTCTATATCACCAATGAAAAGGGAAACTAGAATGGATGTTTTGAAAATGTAAATTAGAGAACCATAGCATTTGGTTTCGATTTGATTCATATATTTTCCTGACTAAATGATATCAATGTTATAAAAAGTGGTATCGAAGTTAACTATATTTGGTTTTAAACTTTTAATTCATTTATAAACTAAAAAGTAAAAACCCAGAGTTCAAAACTGGACCCTGTACTTTTTTTAATTCATTTCCTTACCTATCACTTATTATGATGTTAGATCATTAATCCGTAACACTGATGCTAAGTAATGATGTTTCAAATGCATGTTACTTTAAAAAAAAAAACCGTCTCGAGGAATAGCAAAATTTCACACACTCGCATCTCTACATCGATTTCCAAAAGAAACAAATCTTAAGACGCACAAAATTTCTATAAACAAATCCAATGACTAACCAATAATCTCTTCTTGATTAAAGCTTCTCATAGAAGAGCAAGCTAGCTTCAGCACCAAGAACATCACTCTCCGAAACTTGAGAAACTTCTGAATCAGATATACTAAACCAGCTCAAATCTTCACAATGGTCATTGCAATCTTCTTCTTCCTCTTGTGATGTAACATTCACACTTCTGTAAACAGTATAATGTCCGCTTCCGGTTCTACCAAAATGTTCCACCACCGTTACAAGTCTATACATGGCGCGGTCACTTGATGCTTCTGGCTTCTGGTACTGTGATAACATCTGAGTCTTTTCTATGTTTAATCCTATTGAAGACGGTGTGTACAAGGAGAGGTCCAGGACAAGTGGGAATGCGATATGCCCCTATATCGACAGAACTGAGATTAGAACAAATGATAACTACAACTCGGGACATAAAATGCAGACAGGAAAGAGAAGCGAGAAGACTCTACCGATAGTTTGACTGATTCTCCAAACATGTTTAACGAAGCGCGCTGCACTTGAATGCATAGAAGCTGTAACAATTTAGCCACAGAGGATCAAATGGGATTTAGGTAAAAAGAGACTGAGATAATACCGGATTCAGATGCCTCGGTTTCAAACTTTATTTTCGAGTCTGGTTTCAACAAGTAAAGATACCTTTGGGAAACGGGCGATGATTAATTGCTTCAGTATATGGGAATAGCTATTTGACCAAGGCATTCTTTCAAGACGAAGAGAGGTTTTACAATCGCATAGGTCTTCTCCGCCACAGCTCCTAAGCTTTTCGATATCAGTCTGATTTAAACCATTCAAAGTAGTACAAACTGGTCATATAGATTGGTGTGCTAAAGATGCAATAACTATTAAAGCTGAGAGATGAATTACCTCAGCTGCTCTTATCACAGTTAAAAATTTCATTGCAGCACCATGCCAGCATCTTTTGCAGAAGTAGTTTTCGACTTTCTCGGCGTCAAGAGACTTCTTCAAGCAATTCTCCAAAGTGCATCCAAACATCTAAAAACATCCCAAATTGCAAACACTAATGGGTTTTTTGTGGAGATTTTATATACACAAAGTAAAGCAATGAGCAATAAGAGAATGAACCTTGTGTAACGTACAATAGAAGCCTTTTTTTGATCTAGTGGTTGATCAATCGTTTATAATGCAATAGAAGAATGATGGATGTAACAATTTTCATAGTTTATAATAGAGTAATAAATGCAGTGCTAAATAATAAAATAACCACAAGTTATAATATCGGAATTTTTTTAGCTAATGGTTTGATACAAGCACATTGTGTTCTCCACATGATCTAGAGCACTCCAAATTAAAGTAGGCGGGTACCTCATTCTTTCCTTCCGATGAGCACCTTTGAGGTGAGCATATCTCATACTATTTAGCTTTGGATCATAATAAAAGACGCATAACATGTCACCATAGAGGTGGAAATTATTGCTAAAAACGATCTCACCACCACGAGTAGCACCATGGATGTACCATCCTTCAAAACCCTCCATCGCGTAGAAGAAAATCATGGACCATCCTTGTGTCTCCTTGTTAGCATTCTCCATCACCCAAATTTCCATGCCATTCTCACAACACACGAATCCTAACTTTCCTTGGTAGTTTATCAGAGTCGTCTTGTGATCCATCAATGTTTTTGGAGCCTCCACATGATCATAAAACTTCTCAGACCTAACATCAAAACTTATCAATCTATATTCAGAAGTAGTATCATCATCCTCTCTATTCATTGCTCGGTAATAGATAACTCCGTTGATGCAAACTACATTTGCCATTGGGAAGTGAGATCTAACCCCTTGGATTGTTCTCCACGCGGAATCTCCCAATGTAAAAACTTGACAAGCCAAAACTTGACAAGGCTGGTCCATAGAGTTTTGTGGTGTGAATAATGCTTTGTATCGATTCTCGAGAGGGTCTTATCCGAAGAAACAAGATGACATGAATAGGGGTTCGGGCTCCGGTAAGGAAAATGTCTGCCTTGTGGTAGGGTTATATATAGCTGCCTCGTTACGAGTCGCGTCTGACCAACACCAAATCAGGCCGCGGACGTATTGCCGCATCCATTGAGGGATCTGTTGAGGGATTGAGTGTATTGAAACTTGGTCAGTATTTATAGGGCAAGTACTACTAGACGTGAAGGCTAAGAAATATTCCCTATCGTGGAATACACCGTAGTCGTAGATGATATGGGCTTCACGAGGAGGCTGAGTCAAAGACCGAGTCACCATCGAACCTATGAAATCTCTACTCATGCTGATAGTTGATGACCATAGCTTCGATACGCATAGGAACCTTATAAGAGATTTCGCCGGGAGTTTTTTTAGTATCTCCACCGTTAGATCGAAAGGGATATCGGTATGGCCACCGTGACGAAGTCGTGTCGGCGAAGGTAAGGTCTCGTGGCTCTTCTCTTCGCGTCCTCTCTTCATCACCACCTCTGTTTTGTTACGTATATGTGAAACCCTGAGATAGATAATTAACGAGGAAGAAGAACGATGGTT